CGCCACGGGGTAGGACACTTGCCCGTTCACGAACAGATTGTGGGCATGTCTCAGGCGGTTTGCTCGCTTTGCTAGGCAGAATCCTCTTGCTTGAAAGTCCCATGGCCACCGTCAAAAAGCAAGCGTGGCATTTGGCCTCCCCAAGGTCGAGCCGCGACGGGGAAGGACACTTGCCAGTTCGCGCAAAGCTAGTGGGCATGTCTCAGGCGGTTTGCTTGCTTTGCTGGGCAGAATCCTCTTGTTTGAAAGCCCCATGACCACCGCGATATACCCGGCGTGGCATTTGGGCATCAAGGACGAGCCGGCGCTGGGTACGACACTTGCCCGCTTGCGCCCACATCGTGGGGATGTTTCAGGCGGCATGTTTGTCTTACGAATCTGACCCCTTTCGCTGAAACGCCCCAGGATCACCGCGATCTAGCAGGCGTGCTGTTGGGGGCACCCTAAGGAAGAGCCGCGAAGGAGGGGGAGGCACGTGCCCGCTCGAGGTCAGAATGCGGGGATGTCTCGAGCGGTTCACACGTGCGGCGTCCCCACACCTCCCGTGTCCCTCGTCCGTCCGTCCCGCCGCTTTCTCCCTACTCACCCTCAGATCCACGCAGACTTAGCTCAGTCATGCTCAGATTCAGTCACACAGACCACTCACACACCGCTCATTCACACTCAGACTCACACACACACACACACACTCACTCACACTCAGACTCACTCATGCTCATATTTCTCGTACCCGGACCACACGCACTTAGATCCACTGGTACCACATTCCCTCAGACTTAGGCTCGCTCACTCATACTCACGTAACACCGCTCCGTCTCACGGACGCTCAGACCCACTCACAGGCGGACCCACTCACACTCACACTCACCACGCTCAGACCACTCACATTCAAATCCATTCAACGCGTAGCAGTTTGGCAACCTAAGGGGGACCCGCCAGTGGGGTGTTCCACTTGCCCGTTCGCGGCCAGATTGAAGGGACATCTCGACCCTTGCGCTGGTTTGGGCACCTTCAATTCTAGAGCCCCAAGATCAGCGCGATGTAGCAGGCATGGCACTCGGGCAGCCCAGGAGGGAGCCGCCAGGGAACGCTCCGTCGCCACAGGCCAAGACTCGCACGCGAACGCTCACAGCGGGACGTGACAGGAAAGGAAATCCACATCCACATATGTATGGGGATCTACACGTCGAGTACACCCTGCGAAATGCTTAAGAAATCATGGGTTAAGAAATTCATAGTCTCAGAGCTTGAATAAAAACCCAACATTTCCATTACAATCTTAAGATTTACATTGAAACGTTAAGAATAATCGAGACTCTGGCCGAAAATGTAAGTTTTCTTAAGCATCGCCTAAGGTGTACTGTGTTAGAGCCTTTCCAGGATGAGCGAATGGTCCTTTGCAAAAACAAGCTCTCGCCTGCATGGCAGGACCACGGAGCGTCGTTCGTCGCTCGAGGGGCTCTTTTCTCCAGCGGAAGGCACCGCTTGCACGGACACGAATGGAGGGGACTTGGCACAAGAGGGTGAATTGCAGCATCGATCATGCACTCTGTCTTCACACTGGCCCTTCTCTCCTCTTTCTCCCTCTCCTCCTCCTCCTCCTCCTTCTCCTCCTCCTCCCTCCTCCACTTCTTCCCACCTCTTCCCTCTTCCCCTCGTCCCCCTGTTCCTCGCAGCTCCGCCCCCTCGCCAGTAGTCCCTTTCAGGGAACCGTGGCAAGACTGCAGGCCACGAAAGCGCTTTCCGCTCCAAAGTGGCGGGCGCCGGAGAAGCGGCGGTACTCGAAGAACCGGGCGGCGCTGCTGCTCAGGGGGATCGGGGCGGAGGAGAGCTGAGAAAGAGGAGGAGGAGGAGGAGGTGGCGGGAATAGGAGGAATGATGTGAAGAGGAGGAGGAGGAGGAACCAGATTTCTGCCATTTTGTGTACTCGTTGGGCCTTCGGGCGCCTTCGAGGACCTCTGGAGGCCTATAGGGGGACCTGTCAAGACCTTCGGGGGCCTCTGGGGGAGCTGGAGAAGTGAGGAGGAGGAGGAGGAGGAGGAGGAGGATCAGTGAGAAGGAGCAGGAGGAGGAAGGAGGAGGAGGAGGAGGAAGCAGGCAAGATGGACCTCGCCTTATGCCCTAGCAGCCCATGCCTCGTAATCCTCTTGAAATTTCTGGTGGTGCAAGGGGAGCTCGGAGAGATTGGTGTTCTCGTGTCTTCCTCCTCCTCCTCCTTCTCCTCCTCCTCCTCCTACTCCTCATCATCAGCAGCAGCATCATCATGATCATAATCAGCAGCATCATCATCCTCATCACCAACATCATCTCAGCAGCACCAACATCATCAGCATCACCAGCATCATCGTCAGCAGCATCATAATCGTCATCATCAGCATCATCAGCATCATCATCGTCAGCATCATCACCACCACCACCATCATCATCAGCATCAGCTGCACCATCATCATCATCACCACCGTCCTCATCAGCAGCATCACCACCACCACCACCACCACCATCAGCATCATCATCAGCAGCATCATCATCATCACCATCAGCACCATCATCCCCCTCTTGCACCATCTCATTCCCCATCCACTCATTCCCAGCCTCACCCGCATCATTCTTCCTATTCCCGCCACCTCCTCCTCCTCCTCCTCCTCCTCCTCCTCCTCCTCCTCGCCCTGGACAAGCCGAGACGGACGACTGCTCTGAGCCTGCTCTTCTGGAGGGCAGGTCGGGCCCCGGAGCCCACGGGAGGCAGCCCCACGCGCGGAGAGGCCACGCAGAGCCAAGAGCCGAGGCCTCTGGAGCCCCGCGAGGAAGGACTGTCGTCGGGCCACAAGGGGAGAACCAGCAGAGGGAGGGAGGGAGGGAGGGAGAGAGAGAGAGGAAGGAGGAGGAGGAGGAGGAGGAGGAGGAGGAGGAGGAGGAGGAGGAGGAGGAGGAGGAGGAGGAGGGAGGAGGAGGAGGAGGAGGAGGAGGAGGAGGAGGAGGAGGAGGAGGAGGAGGAGGAGGGGGGGGGAGGAGGAGTGCACGTACTCAAAGAGGAAGAGACGAGGGCAAGCGGGCAAGACGCGAGACGAGGGCAAGATGTCTGCTCGCGTCCCGCCACGGAAGAGGAGGAGGAGGAGGAGGAGGAGGAGGAGGAGGAGGAGGAGGAGGAGGGGGGAGGGGGGAACGTGGAGGGGAGAAGGGATGGCGGGAAGGGAGAGGGGAGGGCGGGAAGGGAGGAGGAGGCAGGAGGCAGGACGCGAAGGAGGGGGGAGGAGGCAGGAAGCAGGCAGCGTGCCGCTGCCCCCGCCTCTGCGGTGGAAAACGCAAGCACGTGCGCGTGCGAATGCAGGCCAGCACAGGGACGAGAGAAAAACATTAAGGACAACATATACTGGGTTGGTGAAGTTCCTACAGTCGGACTCGATTGGACAGGACACGCGAGAGGACACAAGACCCTTCCGAGGGCCACATTGCCGTAGGAATGCAGGAGGCACGGGTCGCGAGGCACAGGACACAAGGGTACCCTTGATTTGGCAGGGTCGACCTACTAATCCGGGCCGACTGTAGGGTGACTGTAGCGTGGCCAGTCCTTTGCAGCAGGGGACGGGGGTATTGGTCGATGCAGGGCGGTGACGGGCCCAATGGGTACTGAGTAGGCGACGCTTCCCTGTCGCTCTCCTGCGACATCTCCGCGCGAAAACTGCGCTTTCCTGCCACCGTCCTGCCGCGCGCTCCCGAATCACCCCTCACGGGGTAGTCGTCTCGGTGCCGCCAAGTACCGTAGCTGGGCTGAGCTCTGTGCATCCGTGCGCGTGCGCATGCGTGCGCGGGCACACTCGAGCACATAGATACACGCACAGTGTCCACCGACACGTTCCGCGGCGGCTACAGCTCCTGCGAGGGAGGCCCTCGGTGTCACAGGCGCGTGGGGTCTCTCCCCCTCGTCAAGCACGATGGTGCTCTCGGGGGGCGACGCAGATGCCGCGGACACTATCGGCGGCGTCTTGAAGGGCTCGAGCCTCAGCCGAGAATGACGAGATGGGTTGTAGTCCAGCGCTCTAGCCTGGCGCTCAAATCCTGCGCACCCAGGTAAGACCCTCTCAGCCTGGAACTCTCAGACTGCTGCTTTACAGAGTGTGATCTCGCTCCGGCGCGTTCGTTCTGTTCCTCTCGTGCTGGTGATCTGAGCCGGGTGCGCTCAGGCTGGTGCTTTCAGTCTGGTGCTCCCAGTCTGGCGCTGCCGCTCTGGTGCTCTTGCGCTGGTGCTCTCAACATTGTGCTCTCGGTCTGGTGCTCTCAGTCGGGTGCTCTCAGTCTGGTGTTCTCAGACTCGTGCTCCGAGTCTAGAGCTCAAGTCTGGTGCTCCAGTCTGGTGTTCAAGTGTGGTGCTCTAGTCTGGAGTCTCAGCCTGGTACATCAGCCTGGTGCAAGTGCATATATTGTCCAGGGGCCAAAACTGTCAGCTCCTCCGCCTGTCGGCAGCAGAGCGCTGCACCGCCGCTGGAGTACGATGGCTTCCTGGGCGGTCTCAGGGGAGCTAGATACATAACAACATCGCGACCTCACCTCTGTTGGCTTCTCCCAGTGTGACCACGCACAAGCGAGACCACCTTGGTGCAGAGGGTACTACATGCTTGCACGCACGTTTACTTGTGACCAAGCATACAGGAGTGGCACATAAATGAACAGATGGGGGATGGTGTCGTGTGATGTGTGATGTGTGGTGGGGTGCGGGGCGTGGGGTGTTGAGCGTGCGAGATGTGGGGTGTGGGGCCCAGGGCATCAGGTGTGAAGGGGTGGGATGGAGCGAGTCGGGGTGGGTGGATGGATGGATGGATGGAGTGGGCAGGTCCACCGACAGATAGTCTCACAAGGAAACAGCTCCGTAAATCATTGATTTGGGAATGTACCTTGTTGAGATCTGTCTTAGCTGAGCTCGTGAGGGTAAACAACCAACAGACCAGGCCTCAACGATGCGTAGCTTCACACTTATCTCAAAGCATCATTGGAAGGATCCGCGCTCAGAAGGGTCGGCGCATCTTGCCGAAACTCCACGACGCCCCACCAGAACGGTCACCAGTCCGATTCGACGCCTCGAGGGGCGGCGTCAACAAGAATTAGGATAGCATAGTGAAGGTAGGGGACATGAGGGGATGCATGAGAGGGTGAAACGACGGGGAGGACAGGGGAGGGCGAGAGGGAGAAAGGGAAAACGATGAAGCGGAGGAGGCAGAGAGGCAGGGTGTCAAATTTGAACGCAGCGCTGACAGCAAGAGGTCTTCTGTCCTGGGACAAGTGCAGCGGTGGTTGCTACCCATCAACAAGAATTCGATCCAGAGGCATGGTGTTTTCAGATTGAAACAGGTGGCTTTCAGTAGAGGAAGAACAACTGCATAAGCAAAACATTCGGAGGTCCGCGCGCACTCCTTGGATCGACGACGGACCCCGGAGCGCGCCAGGGGCGGCGCCGGAGGCGCCGCCAGCGGGTCCCAGCGCAGATCCAAGAAATCCGCGCGGAGCTCCAAAGTTTATGTATATTCGATTGTTTGCCCCTCGATTCGAAGCTGCCTTTGGAATGCCCTGTAGGTCGCAGCCCACCTGTTGGTCACTTCTTGAGCACGGAACAGCAAATATGCTTGGACCGACTGGTCGCTCCCCAGGTTCGGCACACGGGCCTGCACTTGCTTTTGAATTACGACAACCATACGGCAGGTTCGTGTCGTGACGACACCAGGGTTGGTTACTGACACCGCGTGGATCGTTAAAACTTGCACGATCAGTGGCTTTCCCATCGCCAAATTATTCCATGTTGGCCGAATATCAGCCAACGTTGACTCCAAATCGATTAGACGACTAAATAAAGGAATCAGAGGAATCAAGCTTGCTTGGAATCCGCAAGTCAGCAAGCAAGCAAGCGTGTAAGCAAGCAAGAAAGCAAGCAAGAAAGCAAGCAAGCAGGCAAAGGCATAGGCGTAGGGAGGCATAGGCATGGGCATAGGCATAGGCATAGCCATAGGAATTAGGGGGGGCATAGGAATTAGGGGGGGGGGGGGCAACGGACCAATTAGCAGGGTTTGAGCGAGGACTCCTATAGGGCAAGCCTACTTGGAGAATCTGGGCCACTGGCGGCATTCAACCTCGAGCGCCCGCGCTGGGGTCGCCGCCGCGTCGACACGACAGTCGTACAGTGTCGAAAAAGCCTGAGACGATTAAGGTGCCTTGGACTCGTAATGTCAAGCTCGGCCAATGATCCTGCTCGAAGTCAATGAATTAAATGATGGTGTGACTGCGACTCGTCGGAGACATGCTGGGTCTCCGTCAGCCGCTGCTCATGGCGCAGTCCCGCTTGCATGGTCCTCACTCAGCTGTTCCTACATTCGCGGGGACCTCGGTCAGAATGGCGAGCAGCAGCGCCAAGCACGACTTAGCAGGCGCAAACATTGCTGAGACAACGTACGTCGAAACTAATTGGTGATTTGGCGACCGCTCTTCACGCCAGTCATTCATCACGAAATATGGTTGTCCTCATAGCACTCTTGGCTAGGAAAGCATTTGATTTCCCCTTGGAATTGTGCGTGGCATCCTTTCCGTACGCTGCACATATCTTGTTTCATTTGGCACGCGTAGCGAAACATCGTTTTCCTTACAGGTCACCATGGCCCCCATAACTCAGGAATGATATGCTCATCACGGTTTAGTGGGACTCAAAGGAAGTTAAAACCACTTCGTCTTGCGAATTCCAGCCGCGCCAAAACGATGGGTTTCATGTCGCACCTGACGTTGAAACACTGGGATGTGTCAACACTACATTGACGCTGCTGATCGGACATTGGTGGCATGGGCAAAAACTACTTTTCATCTTTTTGCGAACAGCCCTGGCGACTGGAACTCGCTCAGATTCGTCATCCTCATCAGATTCATGGTCGTCGTCATCGCTACCCCGCGGGACTCTCATAAGGTTGACCCCTGTCGTTGCTAAGGCACGAACCTTAGCCTGCCACTGGACCCTCCTCAGAAGCCAAGCAAAGGCTGGCAATTCCGTGGTTGCTAAAGCGGAGCTCCGGGAAATCATTTGCTTCTTCCGGGAAGCAGCCCATTTACTATTTAGCGCGCTGAGTTTTATTCCAGGAATTTGTTTTTTTCTTCCGGGACTACCGTTTTAGCAGCCACGGATATGGCAGCCCTCGCCCAGCTTCCGACCTCCATTGGGCCGCTGAGCACAATCAGGAACTTCTGCTTGGCGTGTCCCGGCGGCGGACCTGGCAGCACGCTATGCCCTGCGAGGGGGTAGCGCGTCGCTCCGCCCCGCGGGGGGGGAGCCTGGGAAAGGCTCGGGACGTCAACGCCTGACCAGGACGTGGATAGCGTGTCGCGCCGAGACGTGGTGGGCCAGAACCGGCGGAACGACATGCTAGGGCAAAGTTCCCGCCCGTACTTCGGAGCATACCAGGCAACAACAGCCATGCAATGCCGCATAAGGTATATCGCCCAGAGTAGTTGCCACAGTTGGCATGAGCGCTATTACCCATGAGGAGGAACGCAGCCTGTGGATCTCACCTCGGCTGAAACGGAAGAGGGACAGGCAACCTCGGAGCGCCACACGAGCCAGCCTGCGCTAGGCGAAATCACGCACGCACTGAGGCCATGGCCAGGGAGTCGAGGGGAGCAGCAGAGGAAATGTATAGAAGCACACGGGAGCAGGTGTTCAACCCACTCGCGGAAAACCATGACCGTGCACATCACAGGAGTAACAGACCCAGGACAAAGGGACGAAGAGGGAGATCAAGGGGGATCGCGAAACCTGACCTGATTCGGCGACTCCTTTGCAAAACCCGCACGCGCGCAAAATTCAGAGTAGAAGGTGAACCGCACGCAGCCTCCAGCAATCATCAGGGCGAAGCGGGCGCTCTCGTGGGGCGAAGACGACAAAGAGGCGGGAGAGTTGTCGGCTGCAGTGCTGTGGCGCAGAACGGACGCAACAGAGGAGCTCCGCCCCCTCGGAGGTGTTCCTGGCCAGCCCCAGCGCAGACGACATGGCTTCAGCCGCCTTTCGAACTAAGGCGCAGACCTGGCGCGGGCTCAGCCAGGCCCTCGTATTCAACAAACACATACACACACACACACATACATCGGCGCCACGCTGATGCAGACGCGGGCCTCCAACGTCTTCCCTTTTCCTCCTCATCATCATCCTCACCATCCTTCTCCTCTTCCTTTCATCCTCATTTTCGTCTCCATCCTCCTCATCCTCCTTATTATCATACGCCGTCATGCTGTTTTGCCGGAACCATCAATTGAAGCAGCAGGTCGCGAAATGATTCGACCGCTCTCCAGCTTGACCCCAAAACGTGTTTGATCGATGCGGCCTGAATGGAGCAGGTCCTACCCTCCCCCCCCTCCCTCGTCCTCATCATTGCCTCATAATCCTTCTCTTCCTCCTGCTCCTGCTCCTTCTTCTCCTGCTCCTTATCCTCCCCCACCTCCTCCTGCTTCTCCTCCTCATCATCATCGTCCTCCTCCTCGTCCTCCCTTCCTGCCTGGCCTCCCTCCTGATGTTTTCTGCATCGTCTGCACTCCCCTCCACCACCTCCTCTTTCTTCACCTTCCTTAACGTAACTCACCCACTTACTCTTAAAATGATTGTTCACGTGCTGATTGCAAGTGTTTTTCCTGCTCATCTAATTCGTACCATCATCATCGCCACCACCACCACCACCATCATCATGATCATCATCAGAATCATCATCATCATCGTCATCATCATCATCATCATCATCATCAGCAGTATCATCATCAGCATCGTCATAGTCGTCGTCATCGTCATCATCAGCATCATCGTCAGCACAGTCATCATAGTCATCGTCATCATCAGCATCAGCATCATCATCAACAGAATCATCCTAGCAGGAAAAGGTGAACGAGAAGGAGGAGTAGACGAAGGCAGGGATCGACGAGATGACGGCGCGGAAGTCATGAGCAGGGGAAGAGGGCGAGGCACTGGAAGCTGAGATATCAGAGGAGGAAGGAAGAGGAAGAGGAGGGGCAAAAGGGGGAGACATAGCAGTTCGAGTGGGAGAAGGAGAAGGAAGCGAGAGGGACGAACGAAGAGAGGGAGAGAGCAGAAGGACAAAAAAGGGAAGCGAGGGAGAGGCCGGGGCACGGGCCTCTGGGGCAATGCTGTGAAAGCCGCTCGGACTGAACACGCAGGGTGCCTGCGGCGGGTCAACCCATCCCTTGTTTTCCTTCTTCTGCTGTGCTGATTCACAAGGATGGGCGGCAACGCCAGGAGCATGAAGGAAAGATGATGGGAAGAGAAAGAAGGAGGATGAAGAAGAGGAGACGTAACCAAGAGGGGTCAGGGTTCACCTAACTCTGTATCGCTGCGGCGCCCCAAGGGTGCGAGGCTGGAAAGATCAAGGCGATCGAATAATAGGGCGTCGGGGGTCAGTTTCGCAATACCAAAATATGAAGATTCGTTGTTACAGAGGGCGCGCAGGAAGTGGAGCATGCGTAGCAATGACTCTTCCAACTCGGCAGATAACTTCCACAGCGAATATTATATCCGAGCTGGCCAACAAGTTGTACTGCTCCATGGAGGGATAGTGGTCCATGAAGCGGTACACGATATCTGGAGTCCCGCTTCGGCGTGTCACTGATGTTCAGCTGCTGCTGACACTCAGATGCTCGTGCCTGACCCTGTCCAGAAGCACCGACTGAAACTCTGAATCCACCGCCTCAGTAGTACTGATGGCCCACCTTCAAAATCCACTGCGCTGCGCTTTCGCAGAACACTCTTACCTTGACGCGTGAAACAAAAACTTCGGGCGCTCTTTGCGCGCGAATCGCGCCTCCTGCGGGGGCGCCGCCGCCATCCTCGCAAGCGCCGCTTTAGCATCCGGCGCCAGCCGACATGGCAGGAGAACACCGGCGTCGCCATCGAGGGCGGCGGCTTCAACGAAAAGCAGCTCGCGCGCGTCGGGCGCCGGGCGCTTCGGCGCGGGCTGCCTGGAAAGCTATGGCCCGCCGCGTCGCCCCATGGCCCCGACGACCTTCTGATATCGCGCCGCGGCGCGCATGGGGCACGGAGGGGCGACGCGGCGGGCCCGTCGGCACCGAGGTCACGCCCGCGCAAACGCGGAGCCCTGAGCCCTGCCGGTGGCCGATGCATTAATTAAGACGAGCGAGCTTCGCGCGCCGCGCTTAAGGCGGCGCCGACGGATCTCCCCCCGGGGGCTCAGCGGCGCCGCCGTTTTGCGCCGCCGGCACCACCCCCTGGGCACCCCAGCTCTTCCAGGGCCGGCCTGGCCCCAAGAATCGGTCTTACGCTGGCGCGGCTGGGCCAGCTGCGTCGCGCCGGCAGCGCGGTCATTGCCCGCGCGCGGGCCCCGGCCGCGCATCGGAGTCGTCGGAGCCCGGGAAGTTCCCCCGCCTTCCGGCCCAGACAGGGCACTGTTTCCCCTGGCAGCCACCTCCTCGAATCGCACTCCCGCTCTGCTTGGCGCGGGAGCGCCTCGTCGAAGGCCGCGGCGGCGGCGCCGACCTGCCGCCGTCGCCTGGGAGCCGCGACAGTAACAGGGCGCGCGCGAGCCGAGGGGGAGGGGCCGCGAACCTGGAAGCTGGCGAGCCCAGGGCGAGCCCAGAGGCCGCCCTCTCGCCCCAGCTGCGGCGGCACACCTAGTCGCAGCACATTCACTGTTTGCGGCCCTTCAGCGGGGCCTGCGCGGCCACCTGCGACGCGAGCGCCGAGGAGGAGGGCCGACGGCGGGACGGGCGCGCGTCGCGGGCGCGCCAGCAGACAGATCTGCTCGTGAGCGAAGGCCACCGACAAGCTGAGCTGCTCGACAGCTGCCGCCACGAGCGCGCGCTGGCATCTCAGCGCAGCACGCGCGGCGCCGCAATGATGGCGCGCGGAAGGCGCCGGAGCGGCGCAAGCGAAGTGCCTGTCCGTCCAGTTTGCCACCCAGGGCTCGGGGCTGCCGCTTAGACCCTCGCGGCCCTCGCCCGCGCCCGCGGCGCGACCCGCGCCGGACGCGCCAGCGGGAATCCACCGTTGCGGGAACACGTTTACGAACGGGGCGGCCAGGCCCATCTTTTCCTTTAAGCGGTCGGCCTCCGAAGCCAGGGAAACGACGCGCACGGCCCCGGCAGCGTCGCGCGAGGCGCCCGCGGGTCACCTGACTGGCGGATTCGTCACCTCGGCCAAATTGATGCCGTTCAATCGACCCTGGAAACCCACGCGGACCGCCAGGTCGTCGTCTTTCGCAAGAACGCGCGCGAGCTCCACCAGAAACTCGCCCCCCGCCGTTCCCCCGGCGGGGCGAGCCACGCCCCCGGGCGCGAACTCGGCCGTGGCAGCCTTACGCGAAATAAAACGCCAGGCCTGGCGAGCGGCAGCAACGCGGCGCTGTCGCTCGCGCACGTTGACTGCCGCGTCCAGGGCGCAAACTTTGCCGGGCGTCACGCCCTGAAGCTTGCCCGCGTCAACGTACATGAGCGCCTGCGGCGCAAACACCTTCCGCACTGGGCGCTCTTCGACTGGCAGCGGGGCGCGCGCTCGCGCGCGGGCGCATGCGCGTCTGGCTCATCGAGGACGCCGGCCAACTCTTGCACCCAGGCCTGCTCGGGCACGCCCTTTGCGAGAGCGTGGGTCTGCAAGACGGCGCGCGCGGCTTCCGCCGCGGCCGTGTCGGACCGCCACGCGTTGATGCGACAGAGGCGCTGCGCGGATCTTCCGCTGCCTCGCTGGCCCGCGAGCGTCGACGCACAGGGCGCCGCCCTATCGCTCACAAAGCACTGCGTTGTGCGCGGGGCCACTCCGAAACCCACGGGGGACCTTCCGGAGGCCAGGGGCCCCGGACGACCGCCCCGTCGAGGCGCGTCAGAGGGGCCCCCGCTGGGACTGACCGTTCAAGACGCCGCGCCTTCGCACGCACACTGGCGCGAGGGGTCAACTCCAGAACCCAGATAAACAACTTGGAGACTGGGGCCCGAAGGACTCCCCGGGAGTCGGGCCAGAGGGCCTCCAAGGACCCAAAGTGACGGCGCACGAGGCAGCCCGCACCAGACGACTCCAGAACCCAGAGGGACCTTCCGGACGCAGGGGCCCAGAAGGCCACCTGGAGCGGCGGCCCGGGGCAATCTCCCCCGATGCTCTGGCCTTCGCAAGAACACTGCTGCGACGACACGACTCCGGAACCAAGAGAGACATCCTGGAGGACGGGGCCCGAAGGACTCCCAAACAACTGCACCAAAGGTACTTCGTGGACCAGGCAGCAAGCCGGCGCAGCGTTCACCTGCCGGGCCCCCCAGTCGCCCCCATCAACCGCGCACAGAGGGTCTTAGCGCCCGGGCGGAGAGGGCGGATCTGAGGACAGGATGCCTGGCCACCAAAAAGGCCCAGATGTCCACAGACTGCCGACTCCAGCGCGCGCCATTGCGCGGTGGCCCAGCACTTAGGACCGAACAAAAAAACCTTTCGAGCCGAGGCAAAACGACGAGGGGCGGTCAGAGACGCGGACCAGAGACCCAGCGCCTGCCTGCTGCGAAACGAGCCGAGTCCTGCAGCGGCGACGGGAAGCGGAGCACCGCGCCCAAGGACGGACTGGAACTGGACCCAAGAGACGGGGACGAGGGCCCGATGACCAGGAGGGGGACGGGGCCGAACCCGGGGCCGAGACCGAGGGAGGGCCCCCACGGGGCCACAGAGGCCAGCGTCTCCCGCCCGTCGCAGATGCAAATGCACCTGCGGGCGAAGCGGCTGGCAGGCGCGGCGGTGGGAGATGCGCGCGATCCTTCTGCCGCCGCCGCCTGGCCGCTGCTTCAAACAACTTGAACTGCGTCCCCCCCGCGATCGCGTTTCGCGCGTTGTCTCCACATTGGCGACGCGCCGCGCTCTCACGCCGCCGCTCAAAGCAAGGCGCGCGGGCGCCCGTGCTCGCGTCCTCGGTAATTGTGCCCGATATACATATGCTGCGCAAATATTCGCTCACATGTTCGATTGGCTTTGCAGCATCGAAGACGAGGACGCCATCGGACTTTGAACGGCGTTGCCTGCGACGCCAAGGGGTAAAGACCCCGAGGAACCTGATGCGCCCGTCATCGAATTGAATCGTAACTGACAGCGCTGTAGCCGGAATCCACCGCCTCGACATCCTGTGCGCCACATCCGCACCAGGCTGCCTCATCGCGCGTGCAACGACATCGCCTCCACCCATATCTCAGAACACCCACCATTTGACACGACGGCTGACCACGTACAGCTTCAACCTCACTGCACCGCGCACATTCGTGCTGGCCACCACCCTGAAGCACCCTCGTGCGCCACATCCACACCAAGCCCCATCATCAAGATGCCTGCTGTCGACTAGATTCCATACTCATAAATACAATCGTCCACAACGTCGCTGAGTGCGTCGTCAGGCCCCGCAACCGTGGGGAAAGGCAGGATGGCATCATGCGCAACCGCCTCAGCACCAAAACGATCAGTACTTACAGGGTCAAGAAAACTCTCAGCGTGAATATTGATGGAAATTTCAAGATCGGCGACGTATCATTCCGCACAGCAGTATCAGATGGGGCTTCGCGACAATCAGGTGGCAGCCCGCGTTGAGCTGAGCACTGAGACCGCGTGGGAGATGGCACGCCCTCATCACCGCACGATCCGACATGGCGGCGCGGACGACGGGCCTCTCCGCCTTCCCCGTGACCAGCACACTCATCATCATCATCCTGATCATCAGGGGGATCCATAGCCACGTGGACGCTCCTCTCCAAGCTGAGCACTGAAACAGCAGCAGGCCTCGGACTGACCCCCGGAATAGCGGTGCCCACAACGAACGGACACGGCCAGGCCCACCTGCCACTCCACGAGCTGGAGCGCCTCAAGCAATAGGTCGAGTGCAACCATCAAGGTCGGCACACCCACTTGGTCCAGCACTGGTGTGTAGAAGATGGCGTTGCCCTCGAAGCCCTCCACAGCGTAGATGATGCTGTCAAACAAGAAGCCCACTTTGGAACAGACGCCGAAGCCCCTGTCCAACATGTACTCCATGCCGTCAAAAATGATGTACTTCGGGGTCCCTTTAAGGTAATTGACAAAAATGTTGTCGATGACGATCGACAGGGTGGGCCACGCACCGCGGTGGAACTCACATCATAGTAAAATTATGGTCAATCTGCTGGAATGTAAACCCATTCAAGAGCAGTCAAAAAC